CTCTTACTTAGTAATATGCCATATACTGTACTATACATACTGTACTGTACATATTGTACATACTGTACTCTAAAATTTTGACAGTCAATTTATAAGTTCTGAAGTTTAAACTATAACATTTATAAGTTTCTAAATATTTCAAACTAATTACAGATTATTTTAAAACTATAGTATAAAAAGAATCTTATTATACATACTGTACCTACTATATACTAAAAAAATCAAAGCAAACTGTTTAAATCAAGTATTTACTAAATATAAGATCTTCTCACCTTATAATTACATTGCTCTGCCAGACAATAGCATGGCTATACCTATACATATCTTAAATAATATTATTAAAGATGCATTTTGCAACTCCAAACAGCTTTGGCATATATCTCAAAATATAAGTAAAGCATATGACTTAGTTAATCTGAACCTGTTCGAAAAGGCACTAATTTGCATTAATATGCCTTCTAAGCTAGTTAACATACTTACTAATTTATTAACAGACCATCAAAATAGAGTAATTACAAACCTGAATCTAACCAACCTATATGCAGTTAAAAATGAAATAGACCAGAGAGAAACAATAACTTCACTATTTTGGCACATTTATTATGACCCACTTATTCATAAAATTGCATCATAATATAATGATTACTCATTATTTACAACTTGGAAAACTCACCTTCAAGCATCTAGATCTTAAAGCCTTCAAGCATCTACATCAGTATTAGCTTATATGGATAATACACTTTGGCAGTGTTGTCATATGAACACTTTTGAACACTTTTGGACATTTTTTTAAATTAAAATTACTCAAAATTTTATTTAAGATAATATATTTTAATTTTTTCATAAATGAATCCAGCACCTAAAAAAATATATAATTATATATATTTTTAATATACTTTATTGATTATTTAAACTTTGGACATAGACTTGGACGATTTTGAACAATCTTGAATGTTGGATATTTTATATAATATGGACATGTCCAATATACAACACTGCACTTTGGATAGCAAAAACAAAACAAGAATTAGAAGATATTACACAAACTGCTTCATCTTTCTATCAAATAGCCAACATTCAGATTAATGCTATCAAATCTGTCTTTATTTCTAACTCATCTACATCTAATATTCAATTTTTCAACTATATCTTAAAATTCATATCTGCTAGCCAACTATTTAAGTTCTTAGATTGTTGGTTTACACTTAACAACAAACATACTGAACAAATTAAAATTATCTGAGAAGAAACTCTTCAACTTACAAACATTGCTAGTACAAAAAAAATTACAGATAAACAAATTATCTACATAATCAACACAGTTATTATACTTACACTCGAATATAGATTACACAACATTATTATGTCTTACTCTACATACAACAACATTCTTGCCAAATACTTAACAATAGCCAAATGCAAATCCTACCTAGCATGCTCAATCTCCAATAATACTATGCTTAACATATACTTGTATAATGTTTATAATATTTGAGACATTCAACTCCAACATTATATTACTAACTTTTATTATAACTTAACAATTCTAACTTACTAGAAACTTCAACATAGACAAGACTACAACAACTTCAAAATAACCTATGATCAACTATTAATATACTTCAACACCCCAATCCTATTATCGATGGTTTAAATAAATACATACTAAATTTCAAAATTATTCAATTACTGAAACATCTAAATATTTTTATAACAGCTAATTTTAATATTTTATGGCTAAACACTATATCATATAACCTTCAATTGATAGAATTAATTTTATCCCAACACTCTCAATACATTAGTATTAAAAAACAAATTAGAAACCTTAACATCCTATACCTTGAACAGCTTTGTACAGCTAACAACACCACTTTATTAAAATAGAAACATCTTTTATTATGACTATTATACCTACCTAAAGGTTGAAAACCATTATGGTTCACTTTTCTGAAAGAAACTGTAATGGCCCATGATAGTTTCAGAATTCTTTTTCCACACTACCAACAACCAGAATATAATCCACTTGCATACAGCTCACAACATATTTCTAAAAAAATCTAAACCCTGGTTACTTACATATATTAACAATGAGATTATTATTGGCAAAATCTGCAGACATCTAAAAAACATTAATCAAATATCTATTACACACTGGCAAACAAATATTGACATAAATCACTCTGGTTATTATCCCCTTTTACCAACCCAAAGCCTACCTTGTTCAGGCTATTATTTAAACTCTAACAGAATTTAAAATTTATGTATAATCAATGTATCAACAATTATCTCTTCATAATTTTTAGAAAGAATCAATTCTAACTTATTAAACTTCAATGCCAGCTATATTGACCTTATTTATTCAACAGCTATTAAACATCCATTATCAATCTCTCCAGTACTAACAATTCCAATTTCTAAGTCTTATGTCTTTAAAATATTCAAAACTAGTGAAGCAGCAAACATACTTGAACAATATTCAATTCTCAATAGCTCTCAACAACAACTTAACTTTTATACTGATGGTTCAGTAATTAATATTCAAACCAACCAATGTACAATAGGCATTGGCTGAGTTCAGGTCAATAACAATAATCAAATCATTCACAAATTCTCTGCCAAAATCAACTTCTAGCTATCATTCTATAAAGCAGAACTGAAGCTATTCTCTTAGCTATTTCTACTACACCTCAAAATGCAATAGTTAACATTTTTATAGATTTCCAATCCATCATCACTAAATATACCAACATCTATAATACAATTTCCAATCCTAACAAACTTTTTAAATTCAATATATGGCCTATATGGCATACTTTATTGAATATCATTAAATCATACAATCTCCAAATTAACTTTTATAAAGTTCAAGCTCATACTGACAATAATTTGAACAATCTTGCTAACTCTCTTGCTAAGCAACATAATCTTTCTCCTAATTTATACTTCAATTATACTAATATTTACAACCTATATTATATGTTATACTAGAACTAACACTTTATAGAGTACCCTACAAGAATATTTATTAAAAATATTTGCAAAGCCTATATTCTGGCAATGTTGTTATTTTAAAAACGAAACCAAAATAGAACCAACTTATTTCTGAAATAGATTGAAGATTCACTTGGCTATATTTTAACTATAACCAAAAACTAACATATAATATGACCAACTTTAAACTTAATTATTTCAAATCCTTTAAAATCAAAATTCTACTAAATGAATTACATACATACTTCCTATATCATAAAATATATCTACATACTTTCTATAATACAAACTGCTTCCATTATAACTTATTTGACTTCTCAACACATTGGTGAACATGTTCTAATCCAATACTACTTACTAGTATTATTCAAGATACTATCTCTAAACATATTAGTCAAAGCAACCTGGATCTTTCTAAACCTCAGCAAGAAGAACTTATTCAAAAAATTCAAAATCATGAAGCTTTTTATCAGATGCTATTTAATAATAACTCATTTTATCTTGATATTACTCTTAAAGAACTTATACCCAAATCCCTAATTCAAACAATCCAAAACCTTAACATCACTTACAAATTAGCATCACAAACAATTATTAAAATACTACTTGAAATTAATGAGCTATGCTATAAACTATTCTGAAAACTATATTGTATAAATTTTGCAAATTGGAAAAAACAACAAAGTTTTAAACCTTTTTTTTCAAATATCTAACTTAAAATATCTATAATAGACAAACTAAATACAACTGCCAAATATATACATACTTATGTATATATGGACTATCTGACCAAGTTCACTTAAACTCCAATACATGCTCACCTCTAGGTCACACTATTAGAAAAATCAATATATGAACTATTTTCTGGATCAAATACAATATTTCATTTAATCATATTCTAACTATTCAAATCTAGATGAGTCTTGACTACTCTAATAGGTTTAGGTTACAGATAAATATGTCTGAGCTTTACTTTTAAATATAGTTTTCTTCTTTCTGTACTTAAATTAGTTATATATAGTTAGCAGTTTAATGGTTAGCCCTAACTGCAAATGTTGGCCTCAGCCATAGCATTTATATAAAATTACTTTTGTACATAGTAACTCCATAAAGTTACTAACTTTAAAAACTACCAATAAAGATATGAGCAAGGCCTTACCTTAATACCAAAAAAAAAAAACTAAAAAAATCAAAGTATCATATAAATAGAAGATTACTATTCTCAACTTTGATCAATCACAAATTAAATTATTTATGTTAGATTCAATCATAATAGATATAATCCTTCACTAGTTTAATATAGGGTGTTATCAATTAAAACAGCCTTTTTTTACTTTTTTAAAAAAATCAAGTTTTTCTGATTTTCTTATATATATATATTTAACAAAAAGATTTACCAAATCACAAGACCAAATTATATAATAAAAAGATCTGTAAATTGCAAAAAAATAAAAAAAATTTGAAAAATAACAAAATCTAAAAATAGAAATATAAGATTTCTAGATCAACTAGAATACTATAGAAATAAAGATCACTTAGATTATCAACAAACTTTAAAATTTTTTTATTTAATAATAACCTTTTTTTATAATGCTAAAGTTTTACTAAATTTCAGTAAATCTTGTAAACTTTAGTAATCTTTCAGAATTGGGTGCATCTTTCAACTAATTGTTAAAGAACTTTCTCAGTATTTTTAAAAACTTTCTTGTGAATTTTCCTCCTGTCTTTCGATGTTTTTGGAGAACTTTCTTGCAGACTTTCCTTTTGCCTTTCAACATTTTTGAAGAACTTTCTTGCAGATTTTCTTCTTATCATTCAGTGTTTATTAGTAACTAAACTTTTTTATTTTTTAACCTTTTCTAATAAACCTTGTAGACTTTAACTAATCTTTCAGAATTGGTTGGTGAACTTTCTCATAGATCTTTTGTTTATTGGAAAATTTTCTTGTGGATTTTCTTGTTTTTAGTAGCTTTGAAGAACTGTTTTGTAGAATTTCCTTTTGTTTTTCAACATTTTTGAAGAACTTCTTGCAGACTTTCCTCTTGTCTTTCAGTATTTATTAGTAAGTAAACTTTCTTCTTATCTTTAACATTTTCTAGTAAGCCTTGTAAACTTTTACTAAACTTGTAAATTTTCTTGTTTTTAGTGTTTTTGAACTTTCTTGTGGACTTTTCTTCTGTCTTTTGATATTTTTGGAGAACTTGCAGACTTTCCTTTTGCCTTTCATATTTTTTTTGAAAACCTTTCATGTAAACTTTCTTTTGTCTTTTTGGTGTTTAGTTTGTGGACTTTCCTTCTGTCTTTCAATATTTTTGGAGAACTTGCAGACTTTCCTTTTGCCTTTCAGTATTTTTTTTTTAGAGACCTTTTTTGTAAACTTTCTTCTTGTCTTTTTGGCATTTAGTTTGTGAACTTTCCTTCTGTTTTTCGATATTTTTGAAGAACATAGACTTTCCTCTTGCCTTTTAGTGTTTTTTTTTTAAAAACTTTTCTTGTAAACTTTCCTCTTTTCTTTTTGCATTTAGTTTATAAACTTTTCTTTTGTCTTTGGAAAACTTGCAGACTTTCCTCTTGTCTTTCAGTGTTTTTTTTGGAGACCTTTCTTGTAGACTTCCTCTTGTCTTTTTAGTATTTAGTTTATGGACTTTCCTTCTGTCTTTCAATATTTTTGAAGAACTTGCAGACTTTTATTTTGCCTTTTGGCATTTTTTTTTTGGAAACCTTTTTTGTAAACTTTTCTTTTATCTTTTCAATATTTAGTTTGTGAACTTTTCTTGTCTTTTGATATTTTTAGAGAACTTACAGACTTTCCTCTTGCCTTTTGGTGTTTTTTTTTAGAGATCTTTCTTATAGACTTTCCTCTTGTCTTTTCAGTGTTTAGTTTGTAGACTTTTCTTCTGTCTTTGAAGAACTTGCAGACTTTTCTCTTGTATTTCAGTATTTTTTTTGAAGACCTTTCTTGTAGACTTTCTTCCTGTTTTTTGATGTTTTGGAAAGACTTTCTTGTAGACTTTTCTTCTATCTTTTGATGTTTTTGGAGAACTTTCTTGCAGACTTGCCTCTTGTCATTCCTCTTATCTTTTTAGCATTTAGTTGGTGAACTTTCTTGTAGATTTTCCTCTGGTCTTTTGGTATTTTTGGTGAAACCAGAGGAATGTTCACAAGAAAGTTTACCAACTATTTTTTTGTAAATTTTCTTCTGGTCCTTTGGCATTTTTCTGGTGAATTCATGTGGATTTTTCTCTAATATTTTAGCTTTTTTTTTTGGTGAATTTTTATATGAATTTTCTTCTGATCTCTCAGCTTTTTTCTGGCGAATTTCTTGTAGATATCCCTCTTGTCTTTTAGCATTTTTCTGGTGAATTGCTTGTGGATATCTCTTTGGTTCTTCAGTGTTTTTTTAGTGAATTTTATATAGATTTCTCTTTGGTCCTTTGGTGTTTTTCTAGCTAATTCCTTGTGGATATTTCTTTCATCTTTTGGCATTTTTCTTGTGAATTTCATATGAATTTTCTTCTGGTATTTTGGTGTCTTTTGGCAAATTTTTTGTGAATATCTTTTAGGTCCTTTAGTAGTTTCCTTTTGGAAGATTCTCTTGTGGATTTTTCTCTTGTCCTTTGATGGTCTTCTGGTAAATTTCATGTGAATATCTCTGTTATTTCAGCATTTTTTGAAAAATTCTCTTGTGGATTTTTCTCTGGTCCTTTTGCAGTCTTTTGACAAATTTTTTGTAAATTTCTCTTTGGTATTTTAGTGTTTTTTTGTAGAATTCTCTTGTGAATTTTCTTCTGGTTCTTTAGCAGTCTTTTGGTAAACTTCTTGTGAATTTTTTCTGGTATTTCAGTGTTTTTCTTTGAAAAATTTTCTTGTAAATTTTTCTCTGGTCCCTCAGTGATCTTCTGGTAAATTTCTTGTAGATATCTCTGTTATTTCAGCATTTTTTTGAAGAATTCTCTTGTGGATTTTCCTCTGGTCCTTTGGCAGTTTTTTGGTAAATTTTTTGTGAATTTCTCTCTGGTATTTCAGCTTTTTTTATAGAATTCTCTTGTGGATATTTCTTTGATCCTTTAGCAGTCTTCTGGTGAACTTTTTGTAGATTTCTTTCTGGTATTTTGGCATTTTTTTTTTTTAAGAATTCTCTTGTGGATTTTCCTCTGGTCTTTTAGTAGTCTTCTAGTGAATTTTATATAAATATCTCTGTTATTTCAGTATTTTTTTTTTTGAGAATTATTTTGTAGATTTTTTTCTGTTCTTTGGTGATTTTCTGATGAATTGTTTGTTACTTTTCCTTTTTCTGATATTTTGGTATGTTTTTTGAAAAATTCTTTTGTAGATTTTCTTCTGGCTCTTTAATATTTTTTTGATAAATTATTTTCTTTTTAGTATTTAGTTTGTAGATTTAACTATTTTTTAAAAGAATTTTATTTTGTTTGTATAATCTGTATTTAAATCTGTATTATTTATTATGCTGTATTATAATCTCATTTTATAATAAAATTAGTATTTAAATCTGTATTATTTATTGTACTGTATTATAATATCATTTTACAATAAAATTAGTATTTAAATCTGTATTATTTATTGTGCTATATTATAATATTATTTTATAATAAAATGGATTTTTTTTAATATTATTATATAACTTATAATTAAATTAAACAACTTAATAATTAATTAGTTTATTGATTGTGTAATTTTGTAATTGATTTATTGTCAATTTTATTTAATAAAACATTTAATATTTAATTTTATTTAAATTTTTCTGGTTTAGTAATAGTAGGCATTAGACACAAATTATTTATTTTGTTAGAATTTTGTACATGAGTTCTTATTTGTTTATATAAATAGCATTGTTATTCTGCACTAAGACCAGATAATTTTTTTTCAATTAATTGATTAAAATTAGCTTTTTGTATAATTTTTTCAATTTGTATAGTTGTTTTTTCTTCATAAGAAGATGTACTAATTTTAATTTTTCTTTTATCCAAACTATTAAATTCAAAATAATATTGTTTTAATATTTCTAGAATTATTGTAAATTTTTGTTTTAACTAATTTGTCTGTTTATAAAAATATACAACTTAATTTCCTTTATTATCAAAAATTGTTTGTGTAATATTATATCTACCAGGAGTTAAATTTTAAAATATATTAATTAGATTATTAAAATTATCTATTTTAGACTTTCTTAAAAGTATTTTTATTAATCCAAAAAATCCATCTGGACTAAATTTAGTATGTTCTACAATCATGAAACAATAAGTTATACTATCATATAATTCTGTTAAAACTCTCCAAGCTAAATATGCAATCATTTTATTATTCTTATTTTGTTCAGAACAATTATCTGCATGAATTATTAATTTTTTTCTCCTAATCTATGTAATTCAAAATAATTATAAACTAACAAAATAACAGTATCTACTCTTTTACCAACTAATTTATTTTCTTTAATAAGATAATTTACCTGAAATTATTTTTTTTTATTTTTTTTAAATATTAGCAGTGAGGCCATGCCTTTAACTTTATTGAAATTCAATTAAAGTTTTTACAAAGAAAAGCTTGCTTTTAAATTACATA